TTTTTATGTTTTTGGACAGCAGACGAGAAGACAAAAGATTCTGGACTGAATGGTAGCAAGCATTATCCGAGTTCAATCTCCTCTTAATTTCCTCCTCAATCAGGTTTCGACCTGTTATCGTTGTTGCCAAAAATATCAGAACTATGCCACATTTTCAAAACATCTGTTTCCTATCTTTATGTCATGATTTTGCCATGCATTTTGGTGACGAGACAGCAACATATACTTAGTTTTCTCTGTGTTTACTTCTAGACCAACCTCTTTAGTTGCGTCAATTAAAGTTTGTGTGTTTTTCTTTATGGTATCTACATTATCACCCAGTATATTCACATCATCGGCGTAGACCAACAGCTGATGTGTCCCGTTTAGTTTCAGTTCCACCTGGTTTTCCCTGGACCTTCCTAATGGCATATTCTAAAGCAAAGTTAAAAAGGAGTGGCGATAAAGCATCTCCTTGTTTTAGACCATTCTGGATAGGAAATTTATTAGACAAATGTTTACCTACACAGACTTTACTATACGTTTCTTTGAAACACATTATAATCATCCTAACTAGTTTCATGGGTATCCCAAACTCTAACAGAATAGTGTACAATACTTCCCTCCTAACTGAATCATACGCTTTCTTGAAGTCTATGAATAGCTGATGTACTGTCTCATTGTACTGCCATTTTTTCTCAAATATCTGACGAATGCAAAAGATCTCATCTGTAGTTGATCTGTTACGTCGAAACCCACACTACTACAGTCAGTTTTATCACCCTTCTTGTGAACTGGTGCAATAATAGACTCCTTCCACTGATCAGGCAATTTTTCCTTATGCCAATAGAAGTAATTACATTGTGGATCTTAGAATGTAATATTTCGCCTCCTGCTTGAATAAGTTCTGCCGGAATTTGATCACTACCTGGCGATTTATACCGTTTCAATTTTGCAATAGGACTTTCAACCTCAAAAGGTCTAGGATCAAGTACTAACGGCTCAGCTGTCTGGATTTCTGTCTGCCTAACATCACTGACCCTGTGTACATTCAATAACTGAGACAAGTAGTTCCTCCGCCTGTTCAAAATATTGTTGGAATCTGCAAGCAGATCACCATTCTCATCCTTCACTAAGTTACTGCTAGGCCGGTAACTCCTCTTAAAGTCATTCATTCCTCTATACAGGTCTCTAATATTCATGTTCTTACTGTCATTGCAAGCTCATCAATTTTGTTTTTCAGATATTCCCTCCTTTTTATTCCTGAAATGCCTGCTGGTTTCACGTTTTATATTGTTCAGATTATCCCCATTTAACTCGCTTGGATCCTGTAACCATTGCAATTTGGCCTGCTTTCTTTGATCTGTTAATTTTGAGCATTCTTCATCAAACCATGGCTTATGCTTCTTCAACTCACAATAACCTAGACTCTCTTTGGCAGACATTTTTATATTCTCTGTAATAGTTTCCCAAACTTTATTAACATCCACCTCAGTTTCCAAGTTTTCCAAAGCCGTGAACCTATTTGAGATTTCAACACAATACTGCTCTTTACCCTGTACCTCATTTAATTTCTTGAGATTGAACCTCTCCATATGAACTCTGCGTTTTTTGTTTGCTCACTGCCAGTTTTTCCCTAACCTTTGCCACCACCAGGTAGTGGTCAGTATCACAATCTGCTGCCCCTGATGATCGGATATCACATATACTTGAGTGCCGTCTCCTCTCTATCAAAATATGGTCTGTTTGAGTGTGTATCTTCCCATCAGGAGATGTCCAAGTAAACTTATGGATGTTACGATGTGGGAACATTGTACTTTTGACAGTAAGATTTTTGATGTGGCAAAGTTTACAACTCTAACTCCATTATCATTACTAATTTCATGCAAACTCTCATTCCCAATTGTTGGTTTGAAAATATCTTCCCACCCTACTTTTGCAGTGAAATCTCCTAACAAAATGTTCATAGGGTACTTGGGGAATTTATCAAATACCTGTTCTAGTTCTTCATAGATCCTGTCCTTTATGTCATCAATTTTATCTTCTGTTGGGGCGTGAACATTCATAACGATGATATCACACCAGCGACGTTTTAGTATTATATATGATATCCTATCACTAACGAAATCTACCCTCTTAATTTCTGATACGATTCTTTTATGTATGAAAACACCTGTACCTAGTTCATGATTTTCATTCCCTTTTCCATAGGAAAATGTATAGTCTCCTGCTGGTGTGATGCCACCTCCATCCCATCTGACCTCCTGTACTCCCGCTAAATCTAACTTATATTTTAAGATTTCTTCTGCCACTGCCCTGAGCGAACCTGCCCTGTACAAACTTCGTACCTTCGAAGTGCCAAATCTCATATCCATTTTCTTTAGCTTAGTTCGTTTAACCAAGGAATCAGTCCAGGTCCGAGGCTTTGTGTTCATTTTCGTAACATACTTATTTTTTATGGTGAGCAGTTGTTAGCCACACGCATAACCTTCAAGCTGGAGTTCCACCCCTTGTCGGCTGTCCGCGACTGCTTATTCAATATATTAACAGCCTCCCTCCAAAACTGGAGGGCGCCTCCTCCATCCGCAACCTGAGGACGCGCCATGCCGTGGTGACAGGGACCCACCTAACATGGGTTCCTTTCTATTAGAGTTATATAATTGTTTCTTCTAATAAGACCTGATTAATTGTCAGCCGGAGTAGCGTACTCGGTATAGCGACTGCCTACCGGCAGGACGACCAAGTGATCGGAGTTTGAATCCCGGTAGGGTCAGAATTTTCTATTCTCCATATCGTCCAGACCGGCTCTGTGTCCCACCCAGCCTCATGTCCCACGGCTACCGAGGGCCCTTTTCCCGGGGTAAAATGGCAGGGTCGTGAAGCTGACCACTCACCTCCAGCTAGTGTCGAGGTCAAGATAATATGGATCTTTACATCCACTGCCCCATACGCCTTCATGGTGCTTAATTAGTTAAGCACAAGGACAACTTTACCTTTATATCTGATTAATT